TTGATAGAGAGAGAGAGAGAGCAGGGGAGGGAGCAAGAGACAGACAGAGACAGACTGGGCCTGACATGGCTTTTGAAATCTCAAAGCCCACCCTCACAATGAAACACTTTCTCCAACAGGGCCACATCTACTCCAACAAGGCCACGCCACCTTTTATTCCTTCCTTCCTTCCTTTCTTTCTTCCTTTCTTTCTTTCTTTCTTTCTTTCTTTCTTTCTTTCATTCTTTCTCTCTTTCATTCTTTTGTTCTTCCCTTCCCCCTTTTCCCTTCTGTTCTCTTTCTTTCCTCTGGAACCCTTTTCCTTGACATAGAGGTTATCAGCATTTTTTATATTTCCTTAAGAATGTCCCAAAATCTGCATTACTTTCATATCAGGTTTTTAAATTTATAATCATTCTTTGTGGATTTTACATCATGCATTCCAATCTCACTTGTCTCCTTGTCCCCTTGCATCTGCCCTCTGCCCTTGCCAACCTACCCCCCAAACAAAACCAAAACTGTGTTGCGTCACACAGTTTACCCTTAGTCCATTCATCTTTTCTTACAAGTGTTCATTGCCATGAGTCATTGGTCTGGCTGGATGTTAATATGCATCCTTTTATTTTTGGTTTTAAAGAATTGTAATGGATTTGATTTCTCATGTATTATAAAAATATGAAGTGAAACTATAGTATTAATGTGCAAATGTATTTAGTAGAGTCTAACTACCATTAGTAATTTGATACTGATTATTGTGTCTTTGAAAATACATAAATGCCTTTTATACCAGTGGAAAATGTAATTTTCTTAAACCTTTGGCCTTCTACTTTTCCTAAAGAATTTTATTGTATCAAATATGTATTTGTGATTAAAAATCTAGCTCTCTGCTTGTGTGTTTTCTTTTTGTGATAAAGACTGCAGTCAAAAGCAGCTTGGGGAGGAGAGGGATTTATTTCATTTACACTACCATCACTTAGGAAAGTCAAGACAGGAACTCAAGGCCGAAACCTGGAGTCAGGAACAAAAGCAGAAGCTGTGGACTGAAGAAACACCATGACCAAGGCAACTCTTAGAAGAAAGTATTTAATTGGGGCTTGCTTACAGTTTCAGATGGTTAGTCCACGACCATCATGGTGGGAAGACTGGCCGCAGCAGGGAGGCATGGTGCTGGAGCAGTATCTGAGAATGGTATCCTTATCTTCAAGCAGGAGGCCACCCAGGCTGGCGTGAGGGTTTTGAAACCTCAAAGCCCACCCCGAGAGACATACTTCCTCAGTAAGGACACACCTACTTCAACAAAGCCACACCTCCTACTCCTTCTAATCAGTCTCAAACAATTCCATTCTCTAGTGACTAAGCATTCAAATATCTGAGCCTGTGGGGGCCATTCTCATTCAAATCACCACATATACTATACCTCAGGACCACCACCTGACTATGGGTAGTACTGTCTCCACATCAATCATTAGTCAAGAAAAATGCCCACGTACATACCCACAGGCAATCTGATAGAGACAATTTTTTTTAATTAAGGTTCTAGATAACTCTAACCAGTTGGGACATTGGATAAAGTTTAAAGTAAACATCAAAAAAGATAGAAAGGTTTACTTATTTTTTGTGAATTTAACATTAAAAAAATGTTTTAATATTCAGAAAGCTACATGTAATTAATGTATGCAACTTCACAAGTTTTAATATAGCCATGCTGCCCTCTACCATGAATATGTTAAACTTATTATCTCCAAAAGTTTCTACTTGCCTTATGTAGTGGTTTGAATGAAAATGACCCACATAGGTTCATGTGTTGAATACTTCAGTAGGTGGAACTGTTTGAGAAGAATGAGAGGCCTTGCTGGAGATGCATCACTTGGGATGCCTTTGAGGCTTCAAAAGCCCACACCATTTCCAGTTAACTCTGTCTGCCTCACACTTGTGGATCAAGATGTAACCTCTCAGCTACTATGCTATCTCTGCCAGTCAGTAAGGTTCCTGCCATGATAATCATGGGCTCACACTCTAAATAAGTCCCAGATAAATGCTTTCCTTTATAAATTTCTTTGGTCGTAGCATTTTATTACAGAAATAGAAAAGTAACTAAGACAGAAATTGGTACCAAGAGTTGGGCACTGCTATGATAGCCCTGCCTTTTTTTTTTTTTTTCAAGAATGTGAAATAATTTTGGACCTTGAATTAGGAAAGCAATTGAATGTTGTCCTCATTCAACTTGACAAGTTGTCCTCATTGAAGTTTGGAAGACAGTAGTACTGAGAACAGTGTGGACTATGTAGCCACAATTCAAAAGGTTTCAGAGGAGAACAATACTAGCAACTAGGCTAGAGATCTGCCTTGTGATATCTTGGCAAATAATGTGGCTGCTTTTTACCCTTGTCCTCAAAATCTGCCTTAGGCTAAATTGAAAAGTTTTGGACTAACTTCATTGTCAGAGGAGATTTCAAGACAGCCTAATACTGACTCTGTTGTGTAGTTACTAGTTGTCACTCTATGCTGCTCTACAATGACAAGAGAGCAAGCAGGGCAAAATGGAAACAAAATATTATAGTTTGAAGGGAAAAATAGCACTAGAAAACTTAATATTTGAGCCAAGGCTTGTGCTGAAAGCGATAATGAGAAACCTGGTGTGAAATGGAATAAAGGGAGTGGTGCACTGTGGGCAAGACCCCATTTGGGGAAAGACTCCATCCCAATCAGGTAGCTGAACTTGGCAACATTGGCCAAGTGGTTCTGGCCTTAGAGTCATGAAGGAGTTGTGAGTAAATGGGTTGTGGGATCTTTCTCTGGGATTGAGGAGAGTCATAGAAGCCTGGTAGCATTTGGCAGGTGAGTTCCCATATGGAGGCCTTGAGATACCATTGTGTGAATCTGTGAAAATCAAGCCTGGATTGCATTGGAGACTTCAGAGCCTTGAGACATCTGCCAAGGAGAGCTGTGTGTGTGTGTGTGTGTGTGTGTGTGTGTGTGAGAGAGAGAGAGAGAGAGAGAGAGAGAGAGAGAGAGAGAATTTGGCAAAGCTGGAAGGGAAGAGCCATCTAAGGCCTTTGGCATCAGACATGGATCTGTAGGGTTTAGTGTTTGCCCTGCTGAGTTTTAGTCTTGCCTTGGTCCAGTATTTTCTCAGGATGTCCCATTCCTCCTTTTTGGAATGGTAATGTTCTATGCTGTTTTGCATATGTAATTTGTTTTTGATTCTGATTTTACTGGGACTTACAACTAAGAAATTGCCTTGAGTCTCAGGAAAAGACTTCAACTTTGGACTTTTTAACTGGATTGAGACTGTGAAAGACTGCTCTGGCACCATGCCGGCCTGCCTGCTGCCTGCTCCCCGCCATGATGGTCATGAACTCTAACCCCTCTGCAGCTGTAAGCTCCGAATAAACTATCTTCTTTTAAGTTGCATTGGTCATGGTGTCTTATCATGGCAATAGAAACGTAACTAATATAGCAACTCAAGCAGTAATTTTTAAAAATTGAGGATGCTAACACACTGTAATTCACAGCTATATTTGTATGCTGAGGAATGACAGTAGGAAAATAAATTAAAATCCTTGTGTTTTTGTAGTTGTTTCTACAAGAACAGAATTGTTTATATAGACAGTAATCTGTTATAACATACCTCACATCTGAATTTGAGTAAGGTGTTTCAGATTTTGTTTCTTGGCATTTTGAGGGTGTGCACTTTGTAAAGTGGGTGTATCCGTTTGCTCAGAACTAAGGTTGCAATGATGTCATGCTATGTACTGTGGAAGAATACTCCTAGAGACACCTTGGATTCTTTATGTAACCAATTTTGAATTGATTCTGGACATTGTACATTCTGAAAACTTTTACAACAATGGAAATTTCACCCTACATTCAGTAATGTGACCCCACCCACAGATTAATAAAACTGCAGTTTAAGAGACTGACCCTTGAGCTGGTCTTATAGCTTTGCTTCTATGACTGAGTTGTATTATGTCAGAGTTATTTCTTCCTGAAGTTCTCATACTTTTTATCTAGAAAAGGAGTGTGTATGTTCTGCCACAAACATAGGCATTTTCTGTGTCCTTTCTCTTTGTGGGAAGTAGGGCCTGGGGCTTGGCTTCCCAGTTGCCCTGACCTGGGTCATGTGGTAATCCTGTCCTGTGTACAGGGAGTGACTGTACTCTGCATGTGGGTGGCCCATAGACTGTTTTCCTGGGCATGCAGTCCATCTCTGCAGTGAACATGACCAGACTGGGATGTGATGTAACAGAAGGCTAATATGTGGGACTTTTCTTAAAATGGACATTTCTTGTGGAATATTTGTTGTAATGATATTTTTTCTTTTTTGCGGGGGGGGGGGGGGGGGGCCCCCCCTTTTCCACAATAAACACACAAACAGGGCTCATTTTTTTTTTTTGTATAGCACTTAGCTTGGCTTGTTTCTAGCCAGCTTTTCTTATCTTTAATTATCCTATCTACCTTTTCCCTCTGGACTTTCATCTGTATATCTTTCCTTCCCTACTCCGTGGCTGGCTGGCTGGCTGGCTGGCTGGCTGGCCTGCAGTCCCATGATGTCCTCATCTCCTTGTTCTCTGTTGTTCCTCACTTCCTCAGTTCTCCTCCTATTTATGCCGTTTACCAGCCCTGCCTAGCCTCGCTCCTGCCTTGCTATTGGTCGTTCACCTCTTTATTAGGACCACCAGGTGTTTTAGATAGGCACAGTTACACAGCTTCACAGAGTTAAACAAATACAATGTAAACAAAAGTCACACACCTTAAAATAATATTCCCCAACAATTATTCACATTCTATGTTGACTGTCAAGAAGAAATAGAATGCTTCATGATGTGGGTATGTGTATCTATTAAGAATGGCTTGCTGAGGGTGGAGGCTATGGATTAAAACAAAAAAGTCTCATTGCAGACACTTCCTTTAAGTGAAACGCAATTAATGCAGAACGCAGTGGAGTCAAAGCTAGTTTCATGAGCAGATGTTTATTAGGAAAGTACTCACTCGACAGAGTCAGGAACAGAGAGAGCCACATGCGTGTGACCCTCATATTGAAAGTCTTGTTACGTCACTTTGATCACACCCAAGTGTGCATGGTCAGCATCACTTATGCCAGCCCCCAAGTGGGCGTAAACAGCTTCACCTGGGCCAGCCCTCAAGAGAGCGTGGCCAGCATTTTCCCCTACACTTCCTCCTTTTGTTTTTGTGTTCATGGTCACTATGCACTGCACCTGGTGCGTGGTTGCCATGCCTTGAATTGTTAGCAGGTGTATCCCTGCTCCTGTCAGTCACCTTGAGATAGATGCTTTTTCTAGATTACCTGCCCTGAGAGAGGGATGGTTAGAACCTTTGCTACCTTTGTTTTTGTTTTTGTTGTTGTTCCATATCTATGGATAATAAGTTGACCTTTGATTTATGAGCTTGGACATCTTTAATGATTGAGAGTCATCAAAATGAACTAGCCCTATGTCTTTTGTCAGAGCTTCATATTATTTGGGGTGTGCCAGGACTATTCATTGTTTTGTGACAGACCTCTTGCATATGGTTAGCCTCACTAGACAGCTAGGACAGTACCTGTTCCTCAACCAGAGTCAAAACCTTTCAGCTTCAATACCTCATAGTCTTTCAGCTCCTAGGGACCTATGTCTCCATGCACCTAGTCCCATTGTAGCCACCCCAGGTTCCTTCTAGATGGCAGTGAAACATTATCTCCACTTCCAGACTATAGGCTTTATTGACTACAGGAAATGCTAGGTCAATTATAGAACTTAACATTATACGTTGGCTGCCTTTATCTTGCTTCTGATGTGTCATGGCAAAATTGCTGGTAATTAATGGATTTTTGAGTAGAAGGCCAAGCTCATTGTATCTTCTGGGGAGTCAGTGGCTCTGGGGACAGGGGATGTGGGGTACTTGCTGTCACCCTGATGTGACATATTTTCACAAAGAAAGAAAGAAATGAATATCTAGATTTCTATGTTAAGTTTCTATATCTTAAAGTCACCATGGGATAAATAAAACACACTCACAGATGGATAGTTGGAGATCATCAGTCCAGTTCAGTTTCCAGTAAGGCCTGTGAGTGTAATAGTCAGGATTGAATAATGAATATGTTTAGTTCTGTGTGTGCATAGGTGTCTGGAAATGTGTTTTCTTGCTATTTCTTAAATTTATGAGATTCTGCAGTTTGCTGGAAGTTAGGAAGATATATTGGTTTACAGAAGGTTAAATTTAAAGACCACTATACTTTAATGGTGGAAAAGTATGAGGCTTCACTATAAAATGTGCTAAAATGAACCTCAGAAGGCTAGGAACTTCCTAGCCTCGTTGCCTCTCCCATAGAAAGACTCAGGGGTTCAGGAGCCTGCTCCCTGCTTCTCACTGTATTCTTGGTTTTTGTTTTTGTTTTTGTTTTTTTGTTTTTTGTTTTTGGACGGAGGGGGGAGGAGGCAGGCAAGATCCTGTGTGGGTGGTATCCCTGGAGTATCTTGATTCCTCCTACTCTGTGGAGGCAAGGCTGGGTTGAGACTGGATATAAGCAGGTAGGTGGTAGGTGAGAACAGTGGGATCAAAACTCAGTTTTCTTGCAAGAGCTTTAGACTCTTCTGAGGTTTTACCACTCACCTGGGGCTGCTAAAATCCAGGTCAGTGGGATTGTATGTCTGGCCCTCTGCCAGGTAGGACAGTTGGTGTGATGTGGGTCAAGTGTGATGCTGTTTCATTCATTTGCAAGTCAAAGACTTCCCTTCTGTGTCCCAGAGGCAGAATGGGGGAATCCTGTATTCCTAGAGGAGCAGCCTATGGCAGTAAAAGTCAATGCTCAGCTCTTTATACAACTTGGGCTCTGTGTGATCTCAGCCCTCATGCCTCAGTCTCTTTACCCTTAGTCTTGCTGTTCCATTTCCAAGCCAGAGGCCTTAATTCAGGTTCTCGATAGCTTTTGGGTTTTTGCCTATACAGGGAGATACACAAAGTATTTGTTTGTTTTTCACGTTAACTTAATTTTAGAATAATATTTAGATTGGGAAAAGTTGTAAAAGTTATGCAGAGTTTTCTGTGTAGCAATTACCTAATTTCCTCTCTATGAACATTTTGCCCTGCCATGGCATGTTTGTCTGAACAACAGTAAAACTCAACATTGGCATAGTACTGTGGATTTTTTTTTAACGTTTATTACCCCCAATAATGGCTCTTGTTCTATTTCAGGATTCAATCATAGATCCAAATCCTCTCCCACTCCCCTTCAAATTCATGGCTTCTTTTTCCAGTATTGTTACTGCATGCACATATGTATTTGTGGATATATATATATATATATATATATATATATATATATATATATTTATATATATAACACATTCTGTCATTCAGTCTGTATACTGTTGTATGTATTATGTATGTTTTCAGGGCTGACTGGCACTGGGCAACCCATTGGTGTGCGCTTCCCTGGAGAAGATTCGTCTCTTGCTTCTCAGCTTTCTTCACTCACTTGCCTGTAGTTCTTTGTGTAGGGTTGAGGTCTTGTGGGCTTTTCCCTATCCATGTTGGTGTCATCTGTGTTCAGCTCATATTTAGACAGTTGTGTTGGTGAGATTTATGTGTGTAGCTTCTAATAGTACGAGGAGTCACAAACTCAGTGCAATTTGCCTGTTCCTCTGGCTCTTGCAATCTTCATCTCCTCTTCAACAGTGGTCCCTGAGCCTTAGGTGCTGGGAATGTTTTATAGATATATCTATTGGCGCTGGACTCCACAACTCTGCATTTTGATTAGTTGTGGTTTTCTGTAGTGGTCTCCATCTGTAGCAAAGAGAAGTTTCCTTGATGAGGGATAAAGACTACACTTATCTGTGGGTATAAGGACAGATGTTTATAGATTGTTGTCAGGGATTATGCTGGCCTAGTAAATTAGAATTGTAGATTCTCCTCCCATAACCATGATTTTAGTAGCACCGAGTAGTTAGCTAGGCTATTTTGCTTGCATGTAGGTCTGTGAACCATATTCACGCCCCAAAAGGGCTTGGATTGCCCGGAACTTTAGTCACAGACTGCTGTGATCCCTCATGTGGGTGCTAGGATATTTTGTCTCTGCTGTTGGCATCTACTTTTTAGAGGAAAGTATTTTTAGTTCTTTTCATTGATTCTGGTAATACTTATTTCTACATTTAAAAATAGTATACATGCACTTTTTAGACTTGACTTAACAGTGTTTGCATTGTTTTGTCTATCTTAGTATAATTTGTTATTTCTGTCAGTACAAATACAATATTTACACTCTAGTACATATTGTATTTATGTCTATTAAGAATACTTTATATGTTTTATTAAATCCATACTAAGCCTATATATGTGTATTGTAAATTTTGATGACTCTTAGGCTAGGTAGAATGTCAGAATTTCCCTTACATATTTTTATTCTTTGAGAATGTCATACAGTGTGTTTTAGTCACGTTCCCCACCAGTCTTCCCCATTCAACAGCCATGTGTACCTTTCTACATTCTCTCCCAACTTCATTGTTCTCTCTCTAAGAAGAAAAGCAAGGGCCCATCAAGCCCAGTTTGTGCTGCTCATATCCTCCTGGGTGTGGTGCCATCCATTGGATGGTGGTGAGCCTACCAGGATCCACCCTTAAAGGAGGCTGACTTCCCCCCACCGCCAAGCAACTGTTCATAGCTTCTCACTGAGAGGACTGACAGGTGGTGTTCATTGTTTCCCACTCCCTGTTAGAGGCTGACTGGCTTGATCTTGTGCCGGTGTTAGGTAGCCTTCACAGCTTCTGTGAGTTCATGGGGATATCCTGTCCTGTATAGAAGACAGTTTTGGCTTCAGCACTTCCCCACCTCTGGCTTGCAATCCTTTTTTAGCCATTCTGACTAGGTGATGTGAAATTTCAAAACTTTAATTTGCATTTCCCTAATTGCTAAGGTTGATGATCATGTTTTGAAATATTTCCCAGTCACTTTTTTAATTTCCAGAACTCTCTGTTCAAATTCATAGCTCCTTTTAAGACCTGATTGTTTTCTTGACTATTTTTTTGAGTTGTTTATATACTGTGTATATTAATCCTCTGTCAGATATATAGATGGTAGGGATTCCCTTGCTGTGCACAGCGTTTTTTTTCTTTTATGAGGGCCCACTTGTCAATTGATGGCCATAATTTCTGGGTAGATTGAGTTCCATTCTGAAAATCATTTTCTATGGTTCTGCCTTTGCCTTTTTTTCTAGAAGTTTCAACATTTCAGGTTTCACGTGGGCATCTTTGACATCCTTGATCCACTTGGAGGTAATTTTTGTTCAGGGTGCTAGGTATGGATCAGTTTCATCCTTCTACATATGGACACCCAGTTTTCCAAGTATCATTTGTTCACAATGCTGTCTTCTCTCCCGTGTATGTTTGCAGCCTGCATATAATAGGCTTTTCTATATTCTCCTACTGTTTACTGTGTTCATGTAGAACTGTTTAGTCTCCTCAGAGGAATGCTTCTGCCTGCCCACGGAATGCCTTGGGCAAGATGTTTCCTTCTCCTTCCTCAACATATGTTTTTGGCATCTTTGTCAAATCTCAGATGGTTGTAGTTATGTGTACTCATGTTTGGATCTTCAGTTTTACTATATTGGTCAATATATGTGTTTCTGAGCCAATGCTTTATTGTAGTTCTGTAGTTTTGGTAACTGCTTCAGCTTTGTTCTTTTTGCTTAGGATTACTTCTTCTATCTGGGGTCTTCTGCAGTTCCCTATGAATTTTAGAATGGTCCTCTCTATTTCTGTGAAGAATGTTGTGGGAATTTTGATTGGGATTGTATTGAATCTGTAAATTGCTTTGGGGTAGAATGGTCATTTTTGCAGCAGCAATTCTACAAATCCACATTCCAGTGTCTTCTTCAATATCTTTTTTCAAAGGTTTAAAGTTTGCATTGTAGAGGTCTTTCACCTCCTTGTTTGGATTTTTTCCTATGTATTTTATTTTATTGGAAGCTTTTGTGAATGGGAATGTGTATTTTGTTGTTGTATAGGAAGGCTTCTGGATTTTGTAAGTTGATTCAGTGAAATCATTGATCATTTCTATAAGGTTTCTGGCTGAGTCTTTAGTATCTCTTGTTTATCATATTATTTGCAAGAAGGGATAATTTGACTTCTTTTTTTCCTATTTGTCTCCTTTAGTTTCTTTCTCTTGACTTTTTGTTCCAGCTAATGCTTCCAGCACTATATTGAAAACAATTGTAGATAATGGGCAA